ATTCATAGCACTGACAATATTATCTGATTACACTAATAATGAGAGCGTAGCGATTTCTATGTTGATTATCGCATGCCTCTTACTTGTTATACTGTAATTATTTATATAAAAAAAACATCTATTCAAAAGAGCAATACACAAGTTTCTTGCTCATTCTTTTTGTGATGAACCTGCATTCCGAATCAAAATATGACTATTCAAATGAGTAGTACTTATAATGAATTTATTTGAATAAAGATTATTTCTATTTCTATTTCATGTTACTATTTAGTAAAATGCATATTTACTTAAATAAGGTGCAACCGTAACATTGCATTATGTTAGGTACATAACGTAGTACGTACGTCACTGCAGTAAACAACAATATAATCATTAGTTTCTTGTAATGACCAATTACCTACCTATTTGAATACTTCTATCCTCGTTAATAATGGATACTTATAAGCCACAGAGAAATAATAATTTACCTACGAATAACAATAATAGGTAGTAACTCATATGGAGGTACTATTTATATTTACTTTTCTTAAATAATAGTTTTTAAGGTGTAATATTAACTCAAGACTGAAACAGTATTGTAATTTATTGTAATAGTATAGGTACAAGACACTTTTACATTAAATTACAATTAAAAATATAATAATAATAATGTCAGCACAATTCATAGATAGATTCTCTTTAAATTGGAGCGGTTTCTTAATCATTAAATAGCTTCAATAAATGAACTATTTATTGAAGCTATTTAATGATTCTATATATATATATTTATTATATATATAAGAATATATGGTTTTTTCTAGTGTTATTAAAATATATTTAACTTTCTTCCTTGTATTTATATGTTTTTCCAACATTGTTCTAGTTCACGAAACTACTTATAAAGCACTTATTCTCATTATGCTAAAATTCGTTACGGTGGTCCTTTGTTATCGACTGGATTGTTTTGAAAATAGGTATAAATTGATTTTCTACAGGTTTTGTATTATGTTGATAGTAAACAATAAATCTTTTTTTGTAGATATATGATTTCTAATGTATTTTATTATATTTTAGTTTAAAAAATATTTGATTCCAGCAAATCTTAAGAAACAATGAATCACAGTCGGCCATTATTCGGTTCCCACAGCGACACGTCCGCCATAAACTTAAACCATTTGGTAAGACATTGGCCTTGTGAGGAATGAAATTGTTTTATAACTTCATAACAAGGTTGTGCCGTTTGCATCCTAAGTAATCCTAATATAATGCATTGTGAATATTAATAAAAATTCATTATAAGTTCATACTTAAAAATCTACTTGTTAAGAAATATGTGGATATACATTGTAGAATTTGTACAAATTCTTCTGTCTCACCTATTTCTGGAGCAAAACTGCATACTTTGGTTACATTAAATGTTTCATAGTCAAATTATTTATAATAATATTTATTTATTTACATCGTACTAAGTGAGCTTAACAGTCTCCCAATATGCCCACTTAGGAAGATAATATACAAATACACACAATTATAAACAATAATTACACAAGAAAAACAAAAGAGAAAAAAAAACAATAATAATAATAATACCTAATCTCCATTTAATATAATAAAATAATATAATATAATAAATATCTCAGAAGAAATCACACACCCTCATCTAGTTCCAAGCTAAGTCCGGCTTGTGTTATGGGTATTAGGCAACTGATATAAATACACATAAATTCTTGTTTATAAATACATAAATATTATTCATAGACAAGACACAAACCCATACAAACAATTGTTCTCATAAATATAAATAAATTACATAAACCTAAATATAAATAATTATCATCATCATCATCAGCAGCAGCAGCCCACTGCAGTCCACTGCTGGACATAGGCCTTTTATAAGGCCCACCCCCGGGGACGATCTTCAGTCCTTTTTTTTCCAGTTATTACGCGCAACCTTAAGTTAGTCGTCGCTCCACCTAGCTGCGGAGTGGCCTATACCGCGATTATCAATTCCCGGTCACCCTAAAGTACGTCTACTCCAGCGAGCATCAGCGAGCATCTGCAACAGATATAACCAGCCCACTGCCACTTAAACATGCAAATACGAAGAGCTATGTCAGTAACCTTAGTTATTTTCTTTAGGCGAATTACTTCGCTTGGATATGATTCTTCAGAGAAACTCCAAGCATAGCTCTTTCCATAGCTCGGTGAGCGACTTTGAGTTGGTGGACCAGTCGTGTCGTCAGTGTCTACGTTTCGACACCCTAAGCTATAACGGCTAGGACGCCCTGATTATTAATTAAAAAAAACCTTTGTTTTAATGCTTTATGGAAGCGATGATGAGCAGACTCTCCAAAAGCTGCCCAACCCAGCAAAATGCGTCTCTTAGTCTCCCTCTGAAAACTGTCCGACCGGTCCCAACGAATGCGATCATTGAAACTGATCTTGGTTTTGTTCAAATTCATCCAAAGAGCGATACGTTAACATTCATGCCGTAGTTTTTCCAACCGAGCATTCTAAACATTCAGCAATTAAACATTCACTCCAGCGCGGTTGCAAATAACTTAGGGGATATTACATCCCCAAGCTCGTGGGCGGCGGTAATCACTTACCATCAGGTGAGCCGCACGCTCGTTTGTCCCCTGTGTTATAAAAAAAAAAAGTCTTACGCCACGTGGACATGCATTGTAATACAAAATATAAATACCTATACAAATACATAGATGTATTAATTGTTGTAGTAAATGACGCGAAGTTGCGATGATCTATCTATATTTTGTTTTCTTTTCATGGGAATGCATTTTATTCGAAGGAAGCCGCGTCAAAAGCGGGTAAGATAAGAATGCTAATGCAAGCAGCTAACATTTGTACAAGCTGATAATATGATCATAATTCGTCGTACATACATTAAGTACTATCTGACACATGGAATCAATCAGTCATCCTGACAACGTTATTGTGAAGCTGGAACTCTGTGACTGGACTAGATTCTTAAATTTATCAATAATTATTGTAGTAAAAACCTTGTTCTATTTTTTTTTAGTAACAATTAAATCAATGTCAAAAGGCCATTCTTACCACTTATGCATGTATTTTTTTTTATCTTTACCTAACTGCTTGAGAAGGACTGGCATGAAAATATACCTATATCTTTTAAAGCATAGTGATTAAAATAATATTTAACATACTGAGCGTAGGTATATATATATCTAAGAGAGGAATTTTTTTATTGTTTGTTTGGATTGGATAGGCTCCGAAAATACGGTATCGATTTGAATTTTTTTTTACCTTTAGAATACTATTATATATTTTTCAATATTTTCAAAAACAAATGCTACGGATTTTTTTTCACCCTGGACAATTAACACAGAGCCATCTAATCCCACGGTAAACAGAGCTTGTTTTATGGGTACTGGATAAGTAATACATAGACAATTTTTTTCAAAATACATAATGTACATAGAAAATACCCAGACCCGTACAAACAATCATACACATGAATACAAATGTTTGTACTGAGTGAGGAATCAAACCCGCAACAATCGGAAGTGAGTGCTAAACCGTTAGACCAACGTGGACGTCAAATCAATTATTGACAAGCAATGTGTATGTATGTATGTATTATAGATTTAGAGAGGATATCTATTAAAAAGTGTGTATTCTGTATATTTGTGTTAAAAATTTTTTTGTTAAATACACATCCAAATCAGGGCGATCCGCTAATGTTAAATATATTGAAAATCATATCTTTGAATAACTAACGCATGTCCGGTCCACTAATAAGTAATTGTTTATAATGTAGACGTTACTAATCAAGTATTGTTCGATGGAAGTTTAAAAAAAACATTGTATCAATGATAGAGGCTATATTATTGTTTGTAAAATTAAACATACTCGTGTAGTCTCTGGTATTACTATTAGTGCTTACTATTGGTCCTTGACGTCATGTGGGTAATAAACTGAATCGATCACTACAAACAGTTCAGTTGATCTATGAACTGTACGCAAGCAAACGACTACATTATTATGATAGGTAAATTGATGGCGGCGTGCGATGCACTTCATGGACATTTTTAAATTATTATTGACTATTACCAGAGACAAGAGAATTACAACCCATGACTTACCATTAGAGTCGAAACCTCTAGGTGAGGACGCTCTTAGTATAAAGGTATAATGCGAAATGGAAAGTATGACGGCTAAGGTGTGTAGCGGCTTGTCATACTGCTTTACTTCCGATGGTCGCAAGTTCTATTCCATTCGGTACAAACAGTGGTATTCATGAGTAGGTATTGATTGTTTATCGGTCTGCGTATTTTCTATGTATCTATATTATGTATTTACAAAAAAATGTCTCAGTATATCAGTTATCCGGTAACTATAATACAACTTTTACTTAACTTGGGACTAGATGGCGTTGTGTGAATTGTCCAGGTGATTATTATATCAAATTGAATAAAAATATACTTTAGTGTACTTTTATGTACAGTAAAAATACTAATTAGAGACAATGTGAGTAAACATGTTAAATGTTAATCCAGAATATCGTTTGGGTGTCATTTGCTCTATTTCATTCGAGAATTCATACCCACACAGCGAAACTTAAGTGGTCTCGGATAATGCGGTTTCAGAGGAGCTTGCGTAGTTCATTCCACAATCTAAGTGTACACTGGAACACTTAGATTATGGAATGAACTACGCAAGGGGTTTTTCAAGAAGGGTATATAACGGTTTCTCAAAGGTCGGCAACGCGCACGTGATACCGCTTGAGTACAGGCGTCTATAGGATAAAAAAAAAAAAAATAACCGTTTACCATCAGATGGCTCGTATGTTTGATTGCCCGCATAGTTGTATAACAATCCATTCTGTATATAGTCTGTTTCTTTTCGTATTTCACTAGCAGTTACACTTGCAGTTTTGTCTGCTTTAGATCAAAGATTCTATGGTCATCCCTTAAAAACCCGGAATGAATTGAAATTTAATGACTTATTATTATTATTAATAATTATGTTATTTATTTCAGGTGACCGATCTTTTCGGACAGATGCGAGAGCCGTCGCCTGGGGGTTCAAACCCCAAGGGCTCCGCGGGGGCGTTACCTAATGGCTCAGTTACCAAGAACATAGGCTTCCAACAGCAGCACACATCGGAGCTACCATGGAGCAGCCCCGCCATCTCCTTACCCGGCAATTGTAATAATAATTTGTGAGTTTAAATTTACGTAAAATTTGTAATCTGGGTATGTGTATAAATTTCAATCCGTACTTGGGCACGCTATAACTTGAAAACGACCCTACCGATTTAATTCATATTTTTAACTTATTTTCTAACATTTTATAGATTGTTTTAACAGAAGGAGAAATTAGGATATTGCGTAAAAATAATAATCTTACTTTTGAAACGATTTTGACTATTTCGTTTGTAGTTTTTTTAATTTCTTTTTTCTTTAAGTTTCGGTGCGTTTGATAGTACACGCATTTGGTGACAGTTCGTGTAATGCCTGCTATTTGTTTTGGATATACTTTCTGTTTCTAATGCATGCCTCTGATACATGACGCTGGCATAAATAGTCGTAAAAATAACGACCGATTGCCATAAAAGAAATTAAGAAGCAGAAGACTGATACAATACAATGTAGGTCGGTGTGGATAATATATTATAAAATTGTCACTTCCTATGTCAATTCAAGCTAATCATTAATTCATAAGTCTACCGAACCTACAATCACTACGTTATAAGGGTACGCAAACTTCTAAACCCAAAAACCAAACAGTGTGAGAACCATATATAAAAAGATTTAGGAAATTGATTTTAATGACAACGCATTAAAGTCGAATTTCAATTTTAAGATAAGAAAGTAGAAGCATAGTCTATACTTTTGCTTGTATGTAGACAGTGTCGACGGGCTCCAAAAGTGTTTCCGCAGGATTATTATGCCCTCTAGGCCACCTGCGGCCATCAGATTCCATACAATAGGTCCAAAAAAAAAACTACAACTTCAGAGTTGTTATTGTGTTTTATCCCGATAAATGATTATTGTCATGTGTGTGGCAAGATCTATTTTGTCACTTTCTTTCAAATAAAGAGTTACCTTAAAAGAAAAGGATAAAAAAGTTATAATTTTTTAAACTATTCTAATGCTTTACTTGGGCGAGTATAGAGGGCGCTCCATATCCACCGAAGGACTTTTTGAAGCGGCTAAAAACGTAACATTAACAGTTCGGTATCTATAAGACTTTTAGGGCGAAATAGGTCAGCAATTTTAAATTGATATTGCAAAAAAAATATTCATTTGGACTTGTATTTAATACAACACTCTAAATGATATCAATTCATAACTATTCAAAATGAACGCGATATTTCCTTTGTGTTAGCAATATCTGTACTATGACCATTTAGTATCGCTTACAACAGATGTGGTTTTTGCGCCAAATGTTAATATTATTACTAGTACATTTATTGCCGTAGGTACAGGTAGGTACAGCCACACGAAAAAGATAAAACTAACTAACTAACGTAAACTAGAAAAAGGTGGGAAAGAATTGTTAGACTCCCATTCAGTGATTTCGTTGCTAATAAATCTTTTCTTCGTATAGCTTTCTGGTGAATTAGCCACGAATTCAAGGAACGTGATTTCATCCTTATCCCATCAATTTCCATTGGTGCCCCAGCTAATAATGTTATCATCATGGGACAAAATTTCCAGAACAGAATACTAAAAACAAAATTATCATTACGTACCATCACGACTTGACGTGCTCCCATTTCATGCAGTATATTTGAATTAAAAATGGCAGGGGATGAGCCTATTATTAAAACTATAGCAATTATTACTATTAACAGAACTATACTTATTTTAATTTGACCTTATATGTATATTAAAAATTTTGAAGCTACATCTGGTATCAAAGCTGCAACAACAAACACCACAAAATTTACATTATTACTACGTAATTTATTTGTGTTACATCTACACGGACTGGAGTCCATTGTTGCATCGACATATATGAATTACAATTTAACAGACACTTGGGTTTAGAAATAATTGTTATGTTTATGCCTATCTATGCCCTAGGTACCGATTCTATGATGTTCGTGATAATGTCTAGTTCATGTCTGTAGACATTACTCTTTAGTTCAACTGAGCCTTCAGCTGGTTTGGCATTCCAATATCATTAAATTTTTTTGATTGCATAGGAAAGAAACTAGCTTGTGTCTCACTTGATGGAAGGTATTACAGGGGAATTGCAAATACGTTGCCTGCCTTATAAGAAGGAAAAAGCTCTTGAAGATCTTTTCTTGAAGATTTCAATGTCGCATCGGCTAGAATACAATTGCTGGAAGCTGATTCCACAAAGTGGAGTAGAGGAGCGATATATCTTTTTATTTAGATGAATATGTTTTCATTGTTTCAGGACGAGTGAACCTCCTCAGTCAGGGCTGGTCCGTAGTGTTAGCAATGCATCTACATTAACTTCATTATGTGCTGATCTGTCACCCTCTGACTCTCATTTTTTTGAGGTAATATTCAAAATTTATAGACTTTTTAATTTTTGGCAAAAGGACGTTATAATAACGTATGACTAGAACGGTTAAATAGTAATTACAATGTTCATTTCAGGTTTTGTACATAGGTAAAGTTAGGATATCCCAAAGAAAAGTTCCCGACTCACTAATAGATGACGCGTTAAACAAATTCGCATTGCATGAAGCTGAAAAAATTAAGAATCAAAGGCGACATAGCTTATACCCGTCTTCCACAGAGGTATGTTTATCAGTGATGTATAAAGAAATAATTGTCATTTTTTGTAACTACAAAATAATTTGTATTTATATATACAAGTATGGATTTGTTTCGGAAGGGAGTGTAATATTTACAGAATGTTCTTTTACAATTTCAGACTTGTAACTATAATAATGCTTCAACGGAAAACCTGGCTGATAACGAGAAAGAAAAATGTAATTTAAGTACAACGCCTTTGGCACCTGATAAAATAATTAAATGGGACAGCATAGACACTGTAGATAAGCAGTCAACAGTCGAAAATAATGAAATCGACAAAGAATTTGACATGTTCACTAAAGAAAGGGTAGAGATTAATTCACAAATGCGAAAAAGTCAAACATTGGAATCTATGTCTTCAAATATACATAAAAATAACCTAGGAACAGTTACAGAGGATGAAGAAAAACATGACATACAATCTATAATTACTGAAACAGCTTCGTCTATAACAAAATTTTGTGAAAACACTATTAAGGATGCAAACAAAATTGACGTTAATAGTATAGTCAAAGACCCATCCCCGGGAAATAATAAACAAAGTACAGAAATAGAAACAAAGGAAGAAAATATACAACAATCTAAAGATAAATTAAGTCAACAAGACAGAAATGAAAGTAAAGAGATTATATCAGAAAATGAACAGAGTTTAAAATCAAGTATAGAAAAATTTAACACGTTATCTAGTACGAAATTATTTAATAAAGAAATTAAAAGATGTATGGTAGAGAATAAACCGTTTTTGAGAGACAGATCAGCGTCGATCGGAACTTTGAATCTAAAGACGCCCATAGCTCACTTGATTGGAGAACAAAATAGAACTATGTTATTTCAAGTAAGTTTATTGATTCCAATATACATATTTATCTGAAATCCATGTATCCATTTTCTCGTAATAACGCAACAAATAGACAGACTGATTATAAAAACGTTTTTTTTTATAAAATCAGCATATAGGTATAGTACAAATAAACGTATAAAGATGTAATGTAGGAAACACTAGGCTTTTTATTTGCTTGTTTGTTTCTAAAGACTAAACTAAACAATTGCCTACTTAATTATTATTTGTTTAGCGAGTATAAAGAGAAGGAAATGTAAAGACATTTCCTTCTTTATATTGATTCTACCTAATTTGATTTAAAAACGAATCTGCATTTCCTAATCACATACAAGCTCATTTGAATCAAATTATAGTTAAGTTTCTTGTCAGTTTTTATTAGCCCGAAAGCATTCCGAACAGACGGTAGATTTGATATATCATAAAAGTGTGTAATAGATCTACATGAATAAATATATTTTGATTTGATTTAATAATATAATACAATACTTATAAAAATTCAATGTTTTTTTTTCAGGTGGGTCGTTCAGAACTGCGTCTTATCAGTCCAGACAGAAAGCAGATACTTCTTCACAGAGCATTTAAGGATGTTGCAAGTTGTGTGCTTGGTCGTATTAATAGGGATCACTTCGGTTTTGTGTGCAGAGAGAATAATGACAGTTATGCGTGTTACGTGTTCAAATGTGAGAGCGATTCTGTCGCTACAGAAGTTGTTAATGGTAATTATTTTTTTTGTCTATTGCTGACCGCCTTCATGAAAAGTGGCAACCATCTTCCATATACATGAATAGCACCATGTACTTCAAGTCACCGGAATGAAGTGTATTCTGTAATTTCACTGCCATTTCTTACTTTTTAACCGGGATACAGTTTTCAATGCAAACTGCTTGTTGACTGAAATAGGTATGACTGAAGAACCCACTAAGACAATTTCGTACATAAGGTTTAGTACAGGGTCAGATGCTTCTGTAGACTAAAGATTTACTGCCATATATTTACCCTCCAATAAATAAATATTTTTTTTACCCTTGGTGGAGGTGCCGAAAAATAGTGAATAGCATATGGAGCGTGTGGAATTGCTGAAAAATATTATAGGCAAACAGGCTAATTATTTCTTTTATTTCAGCTATAAAGCAAGCATTTTTTGCCCACGCGGAATTACTCAAGAAATCCAGAGAGAAATCACCTAATATGACATGCGAGCATTGCCCTATGCTGTGGTACCATAGATTATGTCATGATATAGAAGGTAAAATACATATAATAGACATATAATTTTATTATTCCTACTGAAAAAGTATGAACGTTTACGACTGTTTTTTTTTCATATTTTACGCAATATCTTCCCACCCTTATTTATAGCTGTTTTTTATTTTTTGTTTGTTGAATGTTAAATGTTAACTAACTACGCAAGTTAAAGTAAAGCGTGTAGTTTTACTTTAACTTGCGTAGTTAATATTTTCTTCTTACACTACAATATATAAAAAATAATTATAGAACAATTTATAAGTGTAAATAAAGTTTTTATTTTCAATATCTATTTTTACATATTGTACAGATGCAAAATGTACATAGTGTCGGTTTAGCATATTAATTATTTCTATATTTTTTCTGTATTTATTATAGGTATGAATGAAAAGAAAACGCACGCTTTTATCCTGAGACGCATAGAACAACTGTCTGAGGATGAACAGGATCTTATTATCACCAAATATCAAGGCGGCACCAACCATATGTATGAGGTAAAAATGTTAATATTTTAGATGAATGTCTCCTATTCATGGATCGTCACAGATAATAGAATATTATAATATATAGTGCTAATATCATAGAAATGTTTTCTAATATATAGATTTGTGCATTATAAGGCGTATTGTTGTAGGTTAGTGAACACAATGCATTTCTGATGATGTTACTTCGAGCACACTGTGAAGCTAAGCAGTCCAGACATATTCACGACACCGCTGAAAACAGGTGAGCAGATGCCACAAAAACATATTTATGATTTAATTTTCGTCTATCAATGACAACTACTAATACAAGATATTTTATATACACTTATTTAAGTTGGTAAAAAAATAAATTGTAAGCACCGCAACACACATACGGCTATGAGCAAACTGAGCAAGTAATCACTAAGTTTTAATTCAGCGCTTCGCCGCTGCTTTTCCATAAATATTATTTATAATCTGTGGCGGTATTTGTTTTGCGCGGGAAAAGTTTAATCCCCGCGTCAGCCTGCGTGTAATACCATAGATTGCCCTTATGAGAACAAATTATTGAACAAAATAATTCCGAATTAGTAGTAGTTCTTTTTAGTTATTATATTAATCAAATAACCTAAAATTTAATAATTTCACTAATAATATAATCTGTTGATTAATATATTATTTTTGCAGATCGGAATTCCTCAATCAGTATTTAGGCGGTAGCACAATCTTTATGAAAGCGAAACGTTCATTGTCCAGCAGTTTCGATCATTTATTGAAGAGGAAAGCAAGTAAAGATGAAGCTAGTTTGGCAATACCACAGGTTGCTAAAAAGGTATTTATCATTTAGAATTATTCTATATGTTTAAAAAAAGTTTATTATTAGTTTGTTTAATTTTATATATTTGTGATTTTAAAGCAAGAACAGCTACCAGTAACACAAGCAGCCGGAGTCAAAAGAAGAGAAAAAAAAGCTACCAGTGACAAACCTTAACCGTCGCGATTTTGAATATTATGTGTAAATGCTAACGCTGATTGCATAAAGAATCATTGAATAGTAAACTTAATCTAAATCTTCTCTTGTAGGGAGAGCCAAGCACTGCAGTTTACTCGCAATATATATAAATAATTTTGATGTGTCAGTTTGTAATTTCAAACTAACAGTTTTTCACTCAATAGTGTACATATGTATCTTTGTTCTTGCTAATTTGTGAAACGGCTTGACGGATTTTGACGGGAGTTTCACTCGCAGATAGCTAATGTTATAAGGAGTAACTTAGGCTACTTTTATACTAGACATTTTATTTATTTAATAAAAAAAGAATTATAAATTCCACGCGTACGGAGTCACAGATAACAGCTAGTATATTATGTATTTATTATTCTGTAATAAATATAATATGTACCATGTTTCTGTTTCTACAGGAAGCTTCTCCTCTGTCTCATGCTGTTGTGGACACGCCTTCAGAACCGTCAACACCTGAAATACACCTTCCAGAAGGTTCTAGAAGTAAATCCCAATCACCAAGTGTACGGACACAGAACAGTGGTAAGCTAATTAAGAATTAAGTAATTACTTAATAGTAATAACATTTAAATAATGAATAATAAAAATAATCGTAACCGCAGACAATCACCACATTACTGTCTAGTCTCAAGATAAACAGAGTTATAGGTACTAAACAGCCGAGTCTTTTAGTCTATCTCTGGTAATAACTGTATGACTTACTCTCTGCTGATGTAAAAGTTATAAAGCGAGATAAAAGTCCCGAACGAAATGTAGACATTTCAATTATTTCATTCACCACGACGTCGACAGTTGACAATGTTATTGACTATACCATGTACATAGAATAGCAATCGTGAAGTTTTGTTACTATTCAAATTCAAAATTCTTTATTTAGGTAACACAACTTTACAATTACATTCTACAGTTGTTGAAGACTCCTTTTAACCATAAAGATGTTTGTGCCAGGAGGCTCCACTCTTCCATAGCCTATATCAAACATTTGTAAAATGTTTCTAGTTTATTATACTATAACTAGTTATATAATACAATTTTTTAATTACTCTGGTTATGAAAATAATTGTCATCTGAGAAACATTACAAAAATTATAAAGAAAAATAACTGAATTTGAAATGCTCATTAATTATTTTTAGATTCACCACCCTCTCCAAGACAAGTCAATGCGTCTGGACTTGAAGAAGAAGGTGAAGAGAAGGAGGAACCTGGCACTCCTGTCAACTCACCCATGATGGATATGTAAGTACTTACTGGTATTGTTATAATCATTATGAATATTAAAAAATTATAGCAAGCAACAGCAAAAGTTATTTTGTCCTATAAAATGGAGTACTAATATCGCTATAAAAAATAGCAGTTGTAGAAAGGGTGAAAATTTGAACTTACATAAAAAGGGACTCGGTGGTTTAGTGGTTTAGCACACTACCTATCTTCCGCCGATCGCGGGTTCAATCCTCGCACAATACAAACGTCTTCACGAGTATGATTGTTTGTATTGGTCTGAATGTTTTCTAAGTATATTCTGTATGTATTTACAAAAAATGTATATAAGTATTTCTATAAGTTTTCTATTACCCATAACACAAGATTGGTTTAGCTGAAGTCTAGATGGCACTGCAAGAATTGTACAGCGGTTATTATTATTATTATCTTTTATTTAAAAAAAAGGACAAATTTACAGACGTCATATAGTACTATGTAAACTAATATTCTAAAAACATATATGGTATTAAATTCTCTTTTAGTTTCATGAAAGTAAGTGATTCGCGGCCCGTTACCGCTGAAGTCGGAAGCGATACAGACGCCACCTGGCGGCAGGCTATATACGAGAAAGTTGTGCAACCGCCAGAATTACAAAAAGAAGGTATGCATATTTTTTTATACTACGAATCCATCATTATTCCGAAGAACGATTACGTAGCTTATAGAGCCCCGAAATACCAAGCGTGTCACATGCGCGTTGCCGACCCTTAAGAAACCTCAATATACCTTTCTTGGTAAAACCCATGCAATAGTCTCTCGAGAACCTCGGCAGATAGTTCATTCCACAATCTAAGTGTATGCGGGAGGAAATGTCTCATTATTGTGTATAAAAGACATGCCTCCGTATCTCGTAATTTTACTGCCATTTCTCATCCAATAAATGGGAATACAGCTTACTTGCTTAACTAGCAGCATAAATATCTGAAATAGAGTTACCCACGAATACAACTTTGTACAAAGTCAACCTAAAATAATAATATAAATAACTCTATACCGATAAGGCATCAGGATCTAAAGAAATCTGCTTTATATTTATAGGAGAAATATCATCACAGAAGCTCCTGGGTATACCAACAGCACCCCAAGGCAAGAGGACTAAAGATCAGCTACGGCAGCTTTGGAAGTTGGCCATAGACCAGACTATATTGCTGGTCAGGATGGAGAAGGAAAATGCCAGACTAAAGGGTAATATTTATAAATTTTTTCCTTATAAAAGTTGTAGAAACTTTGATATAGGTGTAACAATGTCTTACTAAGCTAGGTTAACAGAAATTTGCAACAAGCGTAATACGAAAAGAAATTATAATATATGCTTATGTTTTATAATAATTATCTTGAAGCAACATAATACATCTTAATCTATTATTAAGTTCCATGTTTCTCGTCAGTGATTTATTCGCCAAATAATAATCTTAAAACAATATAACATTGAATGAAAACTAGTTATATACCTCTACTAGTTTTTGAACTGTTTTCTTATCTAATATTCGTAATTATTATATGACATTCCTTCATATATTTATATCAATAATATTTCTTCATTTAGAACAAAGTAAAATAATTACAATTTTTGATAACCCTGAACGATTCACTTAACGTCATCTAATCCCTAGGTAAGATAGATAGATAGATAGAATATACTTTATTTGCAACGTACAGTAAAGAAGAAGCACAACGGTAAGCAGTGGTTGTCTTATGAGTACTATACAACTGATATAAATATTTAGATATTTTTATAAATACATACATGCCGACCGTTTCAAATAATCACTGTCATGAATACAATTTTAGTACTGTGGGAGGAATTAAACCCGCGACGTTCGGAGATAAAACGAAAAAAAAATTGACAATATTAAAATTAGTAACTGAAATTACTCATTAAATATAAAACAAAAAATTACTGTATTATTTACTTGAAAGTGTTTATTTTCCCCGTTTTAGAAAGCGAAGAGTCTTCAGCAGTTCGTCGTATAAAACTAGAATACACAGAGCTGGGTGTGTGTGATGCTGGGGTCCTGCTGATATGGGACTCCCTGCTGTCCACAAAAGACTCCTCCAGACAAATGGCCAAAGTCGACCGGCACATGCTGACACAGGCAGTTATACAGGGTGAGTTTTATTACTATGTGACACCTAATAAGCTGATGAACTATCGCTGCATCGCGTATAAATTTGAACAACATGCATTTTTTTTAATGATATCGGAATGGCGCACCTGTCTCCGCTAACGGTTTACGCTGGCGGGGCACGGCGTGGAAGGATGATAGGTGAGTTCAGTTAGCACATTGTGAAAAAATCACTCACGATGGTTTCCAGGAAGACCGCGTGGAGGTTAACCGGGTAGATTGCTAGCTATAGAGGGGAAGAAGATTGTTAGTAACGTGAATTCATGATACATATTGTTAGTAATGTACCATGTGTCCCGCCACAAGGAAGATGAACCATTCCATTATAATTCATTAAAAAAAATAGGGACTTCATATTACTAAAAATCCCTTTTCTTCAGGTGTGATACCTAGAATTTAAAAGGGCTTGTGTCTGGAGTTTCTAGTTGAGACTTTTTTTATAAAGTTAATTTGTCTTTGGGCTCTAGCTACTGAAAGTTCCAAGCATAAAATGAGGTTAATTAACCGTTAATAATGAAAAATGCATTTTAACCGATTGATTAAGATCGTTGGTAAATAGCTTCGTATCTATAGGCGTGCCGCGTACGTCCCGCGGCGGCGTGTGGTACTTCCTGGCGGAGCAGGCGACTCTGAGTGCGCCGCCGTTGCCCGCACACTACCACGCACCGTACCGGACTCTACTCGCAGGACTCACCAAGCACCAGCACGCGATACTCATCGACTTGGGTATGTGGCATGTTATATCGCATGTCTTAATAATATTATAAACACGAAAGTTTGTGAGTATGGATGGATATTTGTTACTCTTTCACGCAAAAACTACTGAACGCATTTTGATGAAACTTTACAGTAATATTTACAGACCCGGCAGTAATAATAAATGCTAAGAAAGAGTTTATAATATCTGAATGCTAAATGATTTATTTAACATTTGAAACTGATTATAATAATAATAACATAAAAAGTATAATTTGAGTTTCTTGCAAGTTCATTAGCTAGCATGGAGATGCTAAATGGTAGAGATAGTAATAAAAAAATTACATATAATAGAGGTCGAAAGTGTCCAATATAATTAAATTATTTATTAATTTGAATTTATAAATGTCTGCATAATCAGGTCGGACGTTCCCAAAGCACTCTTACTTCGCGTCGGCCCTGGGTCCGGGACAGCTGGCGTTGTACAACATACTGAAGGCGTACTCCCTGCTGGATCCAGAAGTCGGGTACTGCCAAGGACTTAGTTTCGTGGCTGGAGTTCTGCTGTTGCATGTGAGTTTAGAAGACAAAAAGTATATGTATAAGAAAGTTCAGCACTAAATCATTTGGATCATAGTTAAACACTAAAAAATATATTATGTTTTAATTACAGAAGCTAAAGTTGCGAAAGCGTGTATTATGTGACAAATTTTCAAAATGATTTCCTAAACTAGATAGCGCTGTATGAATTGTTCTGGGTGATTAAAATAAAACATATAGTTAGATACCAAATCTGGCATCATATCCTCATACGTTATAAAGTTGTCCTAGATGTAGTGTTAAATCTTGTCAAGGATAGATTTTTTTGTATGTGTGAACCAAAACAAAATATAGATTTCGTAAACATTTGAAAGAATATCTGCTACGAGATCATAAAGATTTATAGATTCTTATTGATAGTTATGATATTCGAGGATAGGATTCACTGTATGCAAAGCGGGTGATGAGATTGCACTTGGCTAAAACTATTTTCTGGTTCCCAGATGTTATTACTTCTATGAATATATAAAAAGAACCGTATGTATAACTACTGGTATATTTATTATTTTCTCCATTTGTATTATTTTTAAAGGCTATTACGAAGTATAAAATATTGTCAATATTTTTTGTTTTTTTTTTGTATATATTAAATTATATTTGTATAGTATCTGTTTTATATTTACATTTTTTAAATTCTAATTTATATTTGTCCGTAACATGGGCTCAACTGAAAATCAACACTGGAAACTATGCTTCCCACATTATGCTGAGATGTGATCCATATTGACTCTGTTTTGTAATCTGTAAATGTTTGTTCGTATATGTATTTTTATGTAATTTTTGTTGTGTCAACACGAGTATATAAATTCTATTCTATTACTCGTATATATTGCAGACAGAAGAAGCTGAGGCTTTCGGATTACTTCGACACCTGATGTTCAGACGAGGGTTGCGCAGGCAGTACTTACCAGACATGAGCGCCTTACAAGTACAGGTAAATTAATCTTCTACATTTATTTACACGGCATTTCTTTTATACAACACTGTTTCCCATTTGAAAGGATGAGCCTTTTAGACCAAATTTATACATATTAATATAAGAGTGTCCTGGCCTGGCCTTGGTATTTACTGCCCTGTATTACGCCCAAGTGAGTTTTTCATATAGTTTTTCACATAAATTAACGGCGGTTAGTTTTTAAGGGTTTTAGGGGGGGGGGGGGGTGAGGATATTCTTGTATATATGGTATATTTACGAGCCACCAATGGCGGAGTCACAGGTCGCGTTAGCAGTCTACCTCGAAAGTCCTCTGCCAGCGAAATGTGGGCATGGCAAATGTTGTGTTCACCTTAACATCGACTACACAATCTGAGATAAAGAACGTGACGACATCTGTAACTTCTAGCCGTTTTTGTTTGAAAAAATAAGAATCGGCCATACCTCTTCATGGCCTAAATCTATGGTTCCCAATTAGTTTTTGCTGCGTACCACTTCAAAAAAGACCTCAAACCTTGCGTACTATAAATGTGAAAGTTTGTGAGTGTGTGTGCATGTTTGTTTTATTGATAGCCGCACGTACCCCTTGATGTAACTTCACGTACCCCTGGGGGTACGCATACCACTAATTGGGAAACACCGGCCTAGATTATCTAGCGGTTTAGCACGTCATTTTACTTCCGATGGACGCGGGTTCGATTTATCGAACAATGAAAACATTTGTATTCATAAGTATAATAGTTTTCTATGTATATTATGTGTGTATTTACAAAATAAAATGAACGTAATTCTTTATAGCAGTGGTCTAGTGACTGGTCTGCTCTAATCACTACGACTGATATAATCTTATTGTGTATTTGACTCTAACAAATTAGCGCTAGTTGGTAGTTTGTATTCACACGTTTCGATTTAAAATGTGAAATTACTACGTTTATTTAAAAGAGCAACATGCAAGTTTCTTGTTCATTGTTCTTGTGATGAGACAGCTTTACTAATTAGCGGTTGATTAAAAGAAGGATAACTTTGACTGTTCAAAAGTGCTTTTGTTTAGTTTATTTGAATATTTTTCTATTCTATTCTATATTCTAGTACACATAACACAAGCTCTGGTTAGTTTGGGGTTAGGTTGCTCTACGTGACGTTATTAATATTATCGGTCCAGGGATGTTATTAATATTATCCATCCCTCTTTAAAGTTTTTTACGATGTTTATGATTATTTACAGTTGTACCAACTCTCTCGTCTACTTCGCGATCATGAGCCGGAATTACACGCGAAATTGGAATCACTGGATATATCACCAGCTCTGTATGCTGCACCTTGGATGTTAACACTCTTCACTAGTCAATTTCCCCTGGGTTTCGTCGTCAGAGTATTTGGTAAGTGTATTAGAATGTGCTTAGACTTGTAATATTTCTGTCAACACTTGACACCCTTCCATTAGTTTACGTTTCCACGAACATAGATTTAAGTTCTGTGTAAAGTTAATCTATGTCCCGACTCCGCGTCGAATACACGCGTTACTAATAAACCACGTAGCACACTACCAAATAAACTTACAAATGTACAATTATTTCATCGGTATACTCACGATACTACAATAAATAATATATTATGTAGCGACACCTCAAGCAACCACCGCGCTACAAGAACAACATTTGCAAGCATTAATTTTAAAACTTAAATTATCACCGCTAATTCTATCGCAATTTGTTGCTATAAACAAGACAGTCTGAAGAATACTTCAGACTATTATGCCATAGCACCAAAAAGGTGGTTCAATATTCAAACTAATCTAAGTGGAGTAAGATTTAAATTACACTGTCACTAAATTCGTGATAATATTGTGTCTGGCATTTCTATCTCTTTCTATACGAAATTTGTTTCAGATCTGATCTTCCTAGAATCATTCGATGTGGTATTCTCTGTCTCTCTCGCTCTCCTCTCCGCACATAGAGATGGTCTGATGCTGTGCGAAAGTTGCGAAGAAGCAGCCGAATATCTTAAACACAAAATGCCAGATATAGATAAAGGGGTTTATGAAAAAATAATGAGAAAGGTAAGAATCATGCCAATTTAGAATCTTGTCATCATCGTCATATACGTTTATATTTTTATAGATGACTTGTAAAATGCTGCGTGCTGCCCGCGTAGTAAAGAAATATGTAACTAATAATATGCCTTCCTATAGACCAAAGAATTATTAATATTAGATAATTTCTCTTTAAAATATTAGTACCTCTAGACTAGCGAACTCGACAGACGTTGCCCACGAGTAGCGCCACAGGTCGAATTCTGTTTTCAGATAATTAAGGAACTCAGTTTATTTTAATGATGTAGACGACAATGACGTACAGTAGTTATATGTATATATACTAGCTGACCCTGCAAACATGAGGAAAAAATTGAAAATTTAAGGCAAGGAAAAGTTTTTTTACAACAAAAAAAAGTCGGTAAATGAAAAAAAAAAATTCAATTGACACCCTTTACACAAAAAAAAATGTCGATAGAAGCAAAAAAATAATTTTCAGTTGACGCCCTTAACACTTAGTAGTATAAAAATTAATTATAAACCTATTCTCAGATCTACTGAATATACATATAAAATTTCATCAAAATCGGTCAAGCCGTTTCGGAGGAATATATATACAGTATAACACGAAACCTGCGACACGAGAATTTTATATATTAGATAGATAAAGATGATGAAAAATTATTCTGCAAATCGAATTACAGGTTCACTCGTTAGACATCGGCAGACAGTTAAACGATTATGCTGTAGAATACGCAGTATTGAGAGAAGAGATGCCGCGACTGGCGACGCTCACCGAGGAGAATAAGCATCTACTGGCAGATAACAGTAGGATGTCTGAGGAACTTGATGTGAGTATTCCCAATAACATTTAGTTTATCTATTACTATCTCTTACACTGTTAGTTTTGTAATTATAAGGTAGGTACATAATATCGTAGTTTATTTATTTAACTTCAATGCACACAATACAGAAGGCGGCAATATTTAGCCGATTTAACACCTTTAAATATTAATGAAAACTGACCAGTTTGTCTTCCTTACAGTCTGCAATGGACGCCATCATGAATTACCAGAAAGTTCATGCAAAACTTGAAACTCAAAATAAAAATATGGAGCAACAACTCACATTACTCAGCCGATATATGTCCGCATATCATAGACAAGAAATGCCCCCAGAAATAAAGAAGATCGTTCAAACGCACAGCAAAAAGATATCCTTCAGCTCAAAAATTACCTCATTCTCATCAAAATTCACGTCAAATGACGAAGAAGAAGAGAGGAGGATCTTCAAAACAGGAGTAAGCACTCCTAATTTGTTCTCCAAAATAACAAGAGAGGATGTTGTGAATGCAGCGAATATTGAAAAGAAACCTCAAGAGACCGAAAGGAAATTCATCATGAAGAAATCACAATCTGTCCACTCAGGATTGATAAGTAACAATTTGAAGAACTATCCCTTGAAAGTATTAGATGAGAAGTTTGAATTAAGTCCGAAGAAATCGGACTCTTTTAGGACGGAATTGACAAGCGAAAGTCTGCAGGACGCGGGTCGAAAGAATTCTGGTTTCTTTGCGAATACCCACGAGCAAATTCGACAAGAGCGAATGTTCGAGCAGCAATTGAAACATGACTTTGACGAGAATTTGAAGAAATTTGATGAAAGAAGTACTTGCAAATCGTACATGGATGATTTGAATATGTTCCAAAGTAGAAAAACAATGTCCTTGAATTTAAACACTGTGTCGAAAGCGCAAGACATAAAATTGAACGATAGCGGCTTTGTGACACCTTTAAGTCCGAATGAAAGTGAACGAAGGGATGAATGTGTATCAAATGTGTCTCATCCACTGAGCGATTGCGATGTGGATATAAAATTTGATGGACAATCAACTAAACTAAAACAAATAAGGCCTATAAAGCAACCAAGTAGTATTAAATAAGTGATTCGTTATTGTTGATGATGGAATGGTGATCTCGCCTACACTAATGGCATAAATACGCTAGTGTATCAATGAAAGAGGAAGGATGAGCATGAAATTAGATTAGCTAATGGTGGTGTATTCATTAGGAATTAACTAAGATAGTTGAATCGTGTGTCGACAGGGTACTTGCCCTTATATATTACAATGATTTGGTAATCTGAAATGTTTAGTGTAATCAATTCGTACAAATTGATATTACATTTAATTGTAATAATGATGAAATATCTTTAATTACTACTTGTAATAGAATTCAAAATTCAGCGATGGTTTTCTTTATAAAATCGTGTGTAAACTCTCCGCTAAAGTTATATAAAGATTACTTATTAGTTCATTCAAAATAGTTTCTATATCTTGACCCATCGCTGGATTATGAATTTAAAGAACAAAGTGTTTAGGTAATAAATTGTTTGATTGTGTTCTAAAAAGCTGGTTGGCTTTAAAGCGTCTACACACGACCATGTAATCGGTGTCGATATTGAAGATGTGATGTGAAGCGCCCTAAAATCATGTTCTAGGATTTTCGGAGGAGAATCGTGATCATACATAGCAAACATGCTGACGGCCAACCTAAGAATAAATCGCAACCGTCCTCTATATACATGAACTATATAAGGCGCTATGTTAATATAAATAAAAACAAGAGAGAAATTTCAAAACTTTATACAAAGGTGTCTACGTCAGACGGGAGTTGCCCTTCAGCCGCTTCATCCGCGGATTTGGAGTGCCATCTGTACTTGCCCCCTATCGTCCGGTGAAGCTGTAAATGCCAGCTGCGGCCAAAAGCATTAGAGTATTAAAAAAAAAGTCTTAACCGAGACGATCGTCTAACGTCAGGGAGAGAAATAAAAAATAAGGAGTTTTTTTGATTAGTCTCTTTGACGATTGAGTACATAATAAGCGATTTTTAGGGTAATGTGTAGACGTTTTTATTCGCATACCGCATTGCCTATAGTATTAATCTAATAATTATACAGTAGTGGAAGTACAAATATATCGAAAGCACGCTTATATATAAAACTTATGTACGGTACAAACACACGCTTTTCAGAATTATATAATAATAATAAGGTTCCTGATATTCTAAATATAGCCAGCTACATATACAATTATAAAATGGTATTATAGACTATATATCGTATAGATGAATTGATTATATAAATCTAATATATAGATATAAATATTAATATATTCGACCGAACTTGGAATTTAATAAGTCACAGGGAGGGTGTGACAAGATGTGACAAAAACGGGAGAGGGGTCAAAAAATCATGACGATGTGACTTAATTTATCTATTGCACCTAATTATTTCAAATTATAAACGATATTATATATCTAACAATATTACCATAATTATTTTGCGGCAGCAATGTGCCTAGTACCAGATATTATATACCTATAATTAAAATAATATTGAATTACAGTTTAATAATAAAAGTTTACTGTGTGTAGCTACTTCGTTCGCGTGGAATATTTTTATTAGCTGTGCACCAAAAACTGTTGCAAACCTTATATTGATTGAATTAAGTAAAAATAAATTTTAATCTTTCTTCCAGTTTACTCATCACATAATAGCTGATCTACTCTGGAAAATTGTATTATTAACACAGATAGACTTTTCTCTACTGGTCACGTTATTGTGGTCAATTTGTCATATTGTACGTCTATAAACCTAAAAATTAAAAGCATTGAGATATGCACTCTAATCCGTTGATTTTAAAGTCTAATTTCAAAAAATAAGTTTAGTTAATCCTGTACTTCACTAGATCTGCGATATGTAAACATATATAGATATTATTTTCTTTATATGTAAACCCGCAGCGACTAATCAAAACCGCAAATTGTGTTTTCATTTTGCGGTTTTAAACTTGTAAATAACCACGGTAAAGCAAGAAAAACAAAACCGTAATAAGATAATGAAAATAAAACTAGAACGCTGTTTGTATTTATAATAATGTTTTATAAAGTAATATTTTTGTTATATTTGTTTATAGTGATATTATTGTTGAACACACGTTAGTTATTTTTTTACGCTCAAAATTGTTTTTTCCTTAATGAATTTGATATTATTTATATACATTAAAAGCATGGTTCGCTTGTTAGATTTATAAGTAGATTATAAACAAATATTGTGATTATTTTTAAGAGTATTAATTATACAGGTTTATTGAAATATATTCATGCATTTTATTTGTTTACCTAAATTAAAAGGTTAAAAACTTTGAATAAGTTCGAGGTTGATGGAAATAAAAATACTTTGTTTAAAAATAAAATTTCCGTGTACTTTCCACCACATGTGATTCAAGAATTAAACACATTTTCTTAATATACCTAATTAAAAAGCAACAGAATTATCATATACAGCCTAAACAAACTTTTAGGTAATTTATTCATATTAATGTGAATACTTATATTTTGTTATTGTATTGACATTTCGTTTAATTTTTTTACAAGTTCCGAAAGTAGAAATTATATTACTTTTCTTATAAATTGAATAATAATAATCACTTGTTCAGCATATCATACAATTTGGAGAATATTCTAGAATTTAAAAACTAATATTGCGCTATAAGAAGAAAGAGCTCAGCAAAAGACACTCAGCTTTTGACACTAAGTTGATTATCAGGGGAGCCGCAACATGAAAAAAAAATATACGAGGGTGGCCAACAAGCATACATGCCATCTGATGGTAAAAATATGTTATATTATACTTGTTACTGGCGACTTTGTTCTTGCTTTATATCATGTATCAGATAGCTCATGTCCGTCTTCTTTATATAATCCATCCTTACTTCTTAAGATCCTTTCATTCGTTTAGTAGTGAATTGGTAACATAGAGGCTGACATAGGGAGTTCGAGAAGAGTTGTGACAACGACGTGGTTACAGTTTAGTATTATTTCTCAAAAAAAAAATCATTCACAAACTAACTACTGTTACGACCTTCTCGAATAGTGATGAAATTTCTACCTTTATTGAGTCTACACCAATGTTTTGATCATCATTAGAGAAGATTGTATCGGTAATCAAGTTTCCGCACTGAATACTTTTAGTATCACACATGGAAATTGTAGCGGAAATAAACAAACTAATGTAAATCGATTAAGTAGTGAAAGTAGTCGTAGTAGTCGTAGTAGTAGGTCTTCAGTAAAAGAACACTTAATTCGATAAAAAATATTTGATGATTGTTTTAGCAGTACAAGGATTGAGCTGTTATGGGGAATACATTTCATAGTTGTAGTATGTATCTTTATTAAGTATTCTCTTGCAGCTATAGTTGTCTTAACTCACCTTGGTCTCCTCGCTTTCACATTTATAATATTCATAGCATGGATTACACTGTATATTCTACTACAAAACTACTAATTTCTATTACATAGCTACAGCTATCTAATAGAAATTAGTAGTTTAAAGTTTTGTAGTTTTGTAATACATGTATTCAGTCTCAGAATTACATGAGCACATAAAATACTCATCACAGTAACTTAGTGTTCATAGACAAGTTCATTAGCAGAGATCCTTGATAGATTGACTTGATGCTGATGCTAATTCATATGACTAATATTTGAAACAACATAAACATGCATACGAATGGAAATATAACACAAATATGAGTCATGATAATGTATTCAATATCCATACCACGTTACATTGTTTTTTGTATGGATAATAATGGAATGTTGCAACGGCCTGTGATAACGGTCTATGCTATCGGGGCGTCAGTGGAATCCTCCATGATGAATAAAATGCGATGGTTTCCAAGAAGGACCTCGCGGAGATCACTCTCCGCACTAAGTATTATTTTAGAAACTACATATAACATCACAGGTCTACAGACCTTTGCCTGCCTATATGACTACATAATATGAAAAATAACAATTACAATCTGTAAGTATTTTTATTTATAACATCATTATTATTTTTTGCAGTCAATATTAGTAGTCACAATAATAAATAATATCTATTGTAAATATAATGCTCAAACATTCAGTCCATACCTCTCCTTAACAACTCTGATCCGTATCCCAAGCCATTAAATAAAAAAAAAAACTATAAGTACCGTCAAATATAACCTCATTTTGGCGGTCGTTTAAATTATGACTGCATATATAAATCGTATCAAAATTACAGTTACTGTGATGCTAATAATTAAAATTGTAATGTGAAATTCTAGTCACAATTTTATTGTTTTCTTTTCAAAATTTTAGTAAATATATTTACGTGACGTACATTTATATTTTCAATAATATATATTCGTTGATACAATATTATCTAAATAAGTATATGTAGTTTTGTTAGTACTATAATACATTTATTTGATTAAACTAGGGAGACTTTATTGGAAACAGTGCTTAATAGTCGCAAAAAAGTAAGTAATACTTTAATTAAGAAGAATTAAAATATTTTAACAACGTGACTTTGTGTGAAGTTGTCTATGTGGATATCTGTTTTACCTATTTCTACCAATCAATCAAGTAGTTTGTAATTAGGAATTTATTACTTTTGCCTGTAGGTTGAAAATGCCTTTGCTAAAAATACCAACTGCCATTACCACATCCATTGAGGCACACAATAAATGGTTACAGATAATTAAATCAGCACAGATTTTGGTAGAAGAAGATACTGATCTACAGGTATTTGAATAATTGTCAGTTTTACATAAATTTAAATAATTAGGCGTAATATATGTTAATATAAAAAAAAACTAAACAAGAAAGAAATTAAAAGATGAAAATTTTATAGAAAGTTGTCTGCATCTAAATTAATCAATACGGGGGCCAGAAAAATAATCCTCAAATTATTTCCGTCGTATATATATGGTACAGGTCATGTATTTTTTAAACTAGGATCTTAGAAACAAGTATACGGCTTATCTAATGGTAAACGGTTACCGTAGTCTATGGTCGCCTGAAACTCCAGGGGTGTACGTACGTGTTACGGAACCTAATTATTAGATGGACGACAATTATATACTATTTCAATTTCATTAGTCGTTATTATAATAATAATAATCTCAGGACAACTGACACAGCGCCATCTATAACCAAGTTAAGTTAGCTAAAGCTTGTCTTATGGATAATACAAGCGTAGATATAGATTAGTATCTGCAGTATTGGTTATCTATAAAGGTATATAGATAACTGATACAAATACATAGATTTTTATCGTAAATACATGTACATACATATATACATAGAAAACACCCAGACCGATACAAGCAATCATACTCATGAATACAAATGTTTGTGCCGTGCGAGGAATAGAACCGCGACCATTGGAGATAAGGCGGTGTACTGCTAGACCACCGAGGCCGTCAATCATTAAAATCGTTTAATCCAATTACTTGTTTTAAAGGAAATGGCATTAAAAGGACTGCGTCTGAAAGAACGCAACTTGCCGCCAGAAGTGTTGGGTCGTATGTATGCACAGTATTGCGATCTTATTAATCGATTATATGATGCATATTTGAATAGTGTACATTTACAGAGGGCACCTTATATATTGGAAATAATCTGTGTCTTCATGAAAAGGTATCTTTATAATTACTAAAGACAAATTTATTTTTTTCTTATAATTTTAAACTATTTGGAATAACTATGAATAAGAGTGCTAAGGAATCATTCCTAAAATGACCACAGCCATATTTATATATTAACAAATGAGATATCTTTTGTCATGATCAATCTATACATATAAATAAAATTGAAGTGTCTATGTATAATATTGAAATAAACCTTTTTTATTACATGCATATGAATATTAATAAGGTACATGCACCAAAATATTTTTTTTTTACAATTTTTGTATTAGACAGAACAAACAGACACACAGACAGCTGTGTGTCTGTTTGTTCTGTCTAATCTGAAAATGTGAAATGTTTGGATCGATTTTAACGGGATTTTTTGGCAGGTAGCTGATGTAATAAGGAGTAACTTAGGCTACTTAGCTACTTAGGCTTTTATAAAAATAAAGTTTAATTCCACGCGAATGAAGTCACGGGAACAGCTAGTAGTATTATATTAAAGGAAGTTGCTTCCGCTGTCTGTTCGCTTAAATTTGACTACGCAATGGATTTTAATGCAGTTTTCAGCAATAGATTGTTGTTTTTATAATTGTTTTTCTTTTACTGCTGTGTTAAACGCTTCCTCGGCTGCTTTACTCTAAGAGAATTGTAACCGAAATTAAAGGGTTCAGGGATTGTTATAATAGGAATAGCGACTCCATTTCATGATAGCAAATAGGGTACAATGTCTGGTCGACCTCCACGCGATTCACCATGTAAACCATACCAGTTATGTACTTCTATTCGAATTCGTTACGTAACCTTATGGGTTAATTGATTTCACTTCGTCATTCGTCCTTAATCCTTCACTGATCTTCGATAGCGCAAGTGATTACATTATTTCATTAAGCGCATAAAAAATTATAGAACTAAGAAAAAACAGTAACATAAAAATCATAGTGCTGACAATAATATCTGAAACATAAATAATGAGTGCGTAGCGGGTTATTGATTTTCGTATGTCTCCTTGTAATGAGTACTTAAAACAATATTTTTTTAAGAGCATCACACAAGTTCTTCTCTTTCTTCTTGTGATGAGTCTGAATTCCGAATGAGTGGTAGAATAAAAAAAATTGACTATTCAAAACTGCTTATATGAAGTTTAATTGAATAAAGATTGTTTCTACATTACAAGTACCTACCTACATATATATAGTTAAGCTACAAGGGAGCATATAACTCATCTAATGTTAAGTGATCATAAACATCTACAATAAGAAATAATGCATTTATATTATCAGTGTTTAAGGATAATAATGTAAGCTGTTTTCTAGAAGGTTCTAACGTCGTTACTTGTAAATACTTACGTCAACATTTGACTTCACAATGAGGTTACTATCTGTGTTTCCATTATAATAATAATATCTCAGGACAATTCACACAGCGCCATCTAGTCCCAAGCTAAGCAGAGCTTGTGTTATGGGTACTAGACAACTGATAGAAATACATGGATACATTTTTTTTGTAAATAAATACATATTATACATAGAAAACACCCAGACCGATACAAACAATCATACTCATGAATACAAACGTTTGTACCGTGCGAGGAATCGAACCCACGACCGTCGGATAGTAAAGCGGTGTGCTAAACCACTAGACCACCGAGGCTGTCAAATACTTGCCATTACTACAGAATAATAATTATTATAGTACCAATTACTATATTTTTTCTAGAATGTATGAGTTACGCAATGAATTGGTATATTTAATAACAAACGATTATATATTTGTGGACACTGGATTAACTCAAACTCGTCTTACTCCCACTGATATACAGGTAATTTTCCAGATATTTTACATCATTCCATTTTCCGACATCACACGGATATAAAACGGAATTAACTATCAACAAACAGATTTGATGTAAGAATGTGGATAATATTTTATAAGAAAGTGTTAAAATGAATGTAGATGGTTAAATGTAGAATAATGGCAGAGGAATTCCGAAAAAAAGATGGATAGACTGTGTGAAAGATGATATGGCAAGAAAAGGAGTGACTAATGAGATGACTGCGAACAGGAATGAACGGAAGAGAAAAACGTAGTACGCCGACCACAAATGAATGAATTTATTTCTAATTTGTTACGTTCATTCGTTTTAGATCGTAGTTCCATATCATATTGCCTTCGAATGTAGATCGGAATCAATAGAACAGGTTCTCCAAAAAATGTGGAAGGATACTGTAAAAAGGCAGTTTAAGAAGGTAGTAGAGTAATCTATAGCAATAAAGACGTAGCTTCACCTAAGCTACGTCTTTATTATTTTCTATCTCAACTATTTTTATCGTTAGCAGTTGCCTTGCAAGCTACGTATGACATACGTCATTCGTCAAAGCGAAGTTACAGAGTATGGATGTCTAACATCCTAGACGTTAGCGAGTTTACATCGGTAAAGACGTCGATGCTTCTGTCTCATCCACTTCAGCTGCTAGTAGCTTGCCTCGCTAGCTACATATATTTTGCTTTGAAGAATGACATATGATAGCAAATTTTCCGATTATGTAGGCCTAACATCTTAGTCGTTAGCAGTAATCAATATCAGTAAAGATGTCTGCGTAGGTGCTTTTGTCTCATCTATCCTACTGCTAACAGGTTGCTTTGCTAGCTACATATATTTTGCTTTGAAGAATGACATATAATAGCGAAGTTACATAATATGAATGTCGCCAAGACTGGTAATGCATGAGCGCAAAATGCTCAAATTTTGTTGAGAATATTTCCATCCAACGTTGTTAAGTTGCATTGCATTGAACCCACTACTCGTGCCGACTCTCGCTTATTATTTTGGTTTTATAAATAGATGTTTATTTAGTTCTTTTTCTATTATTAATGTAAGTATAATACAATTCACCGGAAATTTAGTTAGAAATTGGCATTATATTCTTATATATCGTTTTTATTTATCAATATATGTATTTGAATAGACAACATTGAAGTCGTCAAATACTGGTATGCTAAACGGTAGTGTTCAAGAATGCATGGAGCGTATAACCGATGAAGAGTCCTCAGAATCTGAAGAATCTAGTACGTATAGAAACACATATATTTCAATTATAGCAAAGTAACTAAAATTAGTTACATCTAATGCTTGTTTTTTATAATGCTACCTAGATAGTATGTTCCAACCATAGATCTTGGATTCAACCATGGATCTTAATGTCTATGATTTCTTTGTAAAAAAAATAGAAATAATGAACACTTTGTTTTTACGGTATACCTATGACCCAGATTATTATGGACTAAAAGCTTACTAACCCGCGACCAGCAATTACTGTAGTGTGTAGTAGTAGTGTTTACTTGAAAGAGTAACAAACATCCCTCATTACTAATTTTCCTGTTTCTAATATTACGAGTAGATAGGATTATTTTGCACACAGAACCGTCAGTGTTGACTGGACTTTCTTATTATAAAAAGTCTAAACTGAATATTATAAATTCAAAAATGTGTCTGCTTGTTAGTCGGCATGAGGATAATTGTATCACATTGCCGGATATGGGTTATCCTTTATCTCAAAAAATAATATAAAATAGGGGACGAAAACGACAACATGTAGCGGCTTATAAACTATAGCTTCTTAATTATGTTGTTTTTTTTTCAGTATCAAGCAGCCATACTTTTATACCTCAAGATTTTATTCAAGCTAACATCATACAAAAGCATGAGAGATTTAGGTGAGTTGATATATTTTTCTGTACAACTCACATAGTGAGTAGTCCCAAACCACTAGACCATTGAGGCCGTTCAAAACATAATTTCGAGGTAAATGCTACATTTTTAAGCCAAGTATCATCACCTGCTTCTTCCTTATCCCATTTATTTGGGGTCGGCTTATGTTTTTCTCGTCCATTCATCTCTGTTCCCAGTCATCTCGTTATTTTCTCCCTTTATTACCATATCATCTTTCACACAGTCCATCCATCTCTTTTTCGGTCTTCCTCTGCCCTTGTATGTTGGACTCCAGTCTCCCCAATTAGCCTCTCAAGTGCGTGTATTCCTCTGCCCTTATAACCATTCACATTCATATGTAACACCTTCCTTAGGATATGATCTTCTTTCTTACACATTACATGCCCATACCACGATAGACGATTACTCTTTAACCTCTCCGACACCGGCGCCACTTTCATATAATACTTCCTCTAATGTATTCATTCCTTATTTTGTCTATCCTTGTCACACCACACATCCATCTCAACATTCGCATTTCAGTTGCATGTAGGCGTCTCTCATCCGTCGCCTTATGGGCCAGCACTCTGATCCACACAAAGTAATTTTAATACTGAATGTATATTTAATACTGAAGTTACTATTGTCTAATTACCATATTTAATTACAGACGATTTTTTATGGCAGACTACAGAGCAAAGTGTACCAAAAGTAAAATATATTTTGCAAGCAAATTTACAGAAGCATCAGAGTCCATGAAAACATCTGCGGCGATACTAATTCAGAAAGTTTATAGGTACCTAGATATTCATAAAAAAATAATTAATGTAACAGTGTGTCCCTGTCTATTTGCTACCTATTCACGCCTAAACAGCTGAACGTCATTGTATCATGAGGACTGACATATACTGTCTTTGTCTCAATAAAGCTAACGAGATATCAAAAATTTCCCACTTGTACATCCATTTCGAGTACGGTCTGGCTTATGGTTATTTATCTATAGACTCGGAAACGCCTATTATTTTTGACTATCAAATTAATAATTTTTTACTTATTTTATTTACTAGGTACAACTTGATACATATCTTGTCAAACATTACACTTTGCAGTAATTTATCGTTAAAGACCATGCATCAATAATGTCATATGAATTTCATATTTTTTGACCCTTACATAGCCCCTGTCACAGATAGTCACGTTTCTGAGACTTCTAATATTCTTTCAATAATATCTTTAATTTCTATCAACTCTTACTTGCTGCGATTTGATACTTACTAGCACATAACAAAGATTCAGGTCTCTTATGACTCCAATTTGATATATATTGTTTAGTCGAAAAATAATATGATTGCCTGACATCTCTATATAGTTCGTGATAGTATGATCATTTTATTTCTAATTCAGGAAATATATGCAAATTAAAAGACAACGTGTAATAGACCTCAAACGAGACATTATCTTGGGTATCATACCTGACCCGCATGTTCAGAGATTAAAATTTAAAGAAGAAAATAACAAGGTAATCTACAGATACTTAACGATTTTGATGATTATATTCAGAACTGATTAGATATAGTTTTGGTTACATAGTTTCGCGGGTTCGATACCACGCACGGTACAAACATTTGTATTCATAAGTATGATTGTTAGTATTGGTCTCGATATTATATATCTATGTATATTATATACAAGCACTAGTAAATTATAATATCAATTAGGTTTACGAGAGATGCAGAAAGATCCGCTGTAAGATTAAGGAATCCTACATCAGAGAATTAGAAAACGAGATGACCAAACTTATCGTATTTAGGAAAGATAACCAGATTGACGACATAACGGATCAAGTCTTGGAGTGGTTTAAGGAATGGTAATTTAATACAATATAGCAAAGAAAAATTTTATCCATAAATTGAGGTAACTATTTTATACGCTTACAGAACATGTTTAGAAGATGTCTTTGTACAAAGTTATTTCCATGGGTACATTTGTCTGACTTCTTACAGTCATAAAGCGTGTCGACAACCTCGGTGGTCTAGCGGTTTAGCACACCGCTTTACTTCCTATGGTCGCGGGTACAATTCCTCGCACGGTACCATGATTTGAATTCATGAGTATGATTAGTCTGTATTATTTTAAAAAAAAGTATCTATATATTTCTATTGGCTGTCATAGATTCGTAACACACGTTCTGCTTACCTTAGGACTAGATGGTGTTATGTGAATTGTCCAGGGATTATCATTATTATTATATTAAAGCTGCTTGCTAAGAGAGACGATAAGGCAGTGAAATTACAGAGTATGGAGGCATGACGTCAAAGAATTGTCATTCAGAATTGACATCGTTCGTGGTTCCACTTATGCGTTGTCACGCATAAGTGGAACCACGAGCGACACATGACAATTTTGTTATTATGTATGTATGTAGAGAAGGAGGAGAAGGATCACTATATATTACGAATATCTCAAAATTAAAATAAGGATGACGTAAGATCAATTAGCTTCACGTCGCGAACTAACTGAGAAGTTTCCATAGAATACTGTACTAGGTAAAATAAAAAAAAAACAACTTTCATACAATATATATATTGGTAATAGCACCAAATATATTTTGGTTTCAGGTACTATGGCTATGGTTTCTTCCCCAGCTATCCTCATGAGCTTGAAGGGGGTACTTTGTTAGTTATTAGAGGAGACTACCGCACTGTCGAGGAACAGAAAGAGGAAGACGAGAAACTTTTAGCTGCTACAAAGGGGAAGACCAAAGAGCAAGTAAATATTGTACAAACATTGGGCTCCTATGTGACAGCGCGATTAAACAACTCCGAAAGTCATGAGTTTATTTTTTAAAGACACCAAAATAATAAATATTTCTTTTAATTTATGTTTCCTGCTGACTCTCCAGTGACAGAAATACTGATTATAAAGCGAATTAAGATTCACAATATTTTTCATATTATATGACTAGTTCCATGACCCATATATTTGTAAAGTTAGGAATTATTTTTAATTTTTTGTATATTAGTTAAGAATTCATTAAACCAAGTCAAATATAGCTAAACATTCGGAAATCGAATCTTAACACAAACCTCAACATAATTGATTTGTTATGATAAATATCCAAATTCCTACGATCAGTTTTCACCCCTATCATAGACCCATCACATCCCCAACAGACCATACTAAATTGGATTGTCACCGAATGTACACGTGTGTCAATTTTAGCTCAACCGGAAACCTGTTAATACAAAAATAGATACCAATTTATTAGGACTAACAAAATATAACTCTTTGTAAAGAGTTTAGTTGTAAGATGACTTTCTGCAAAGCTTCGGCAAACTTAAATGTAGGTAACATTCAAGTTTTGTGTTAAAGTCATCTTTATGGATACCTCTGTCTACCTATTTCAACAGCCAAGCAGCCTACTTTATAAGTTGTTGCGGTTGCGCGATAAGGGTGACATCGTTACATAGTATAAAATAAAGTTGCTGTCGCGGTCTGTCCCTATGTATGCTTTAATCTTTAAAACTACGCAACGGGTTTTTAGGCAGTATTTTTTAATTGATTCAAGTGGAAGGTTTATATATACAATACATGTACACCCGTGCGAAGCCGGGGCGAGTAGCTAGTTACAGGATAAGAGGTATGATATTTTAATACTACCGCACGGTTATCATATACCAAACTATGCACCATCTACTTATTTATCATTATAATTACACAAGAGATAACTACTAAGGTTTACATTCGTTAGCTGCAACAAGAGAAACTGCAAGCAGAAGCCGACGCGCAGATGAAAGCAGAATTGTTAAAAGAACAGAAACAGAAGAAAGCAGAACTACTATTCAAGCAAAGGTGCAATCCGTATTCTGATCCCGGTTACCAAGCACAAACGTCTAGTGTAATGAATGAATTGATAGAGGTATTTCTCATTACTACATTATTACACTATTTCATCAGACTGTCTTTTACACAACAATTTAGAATTATTAATCTATGTATAATAGTCACACAAAATATAAATCAAATGCACACACACTGTCGTTAAGTTTTGCCAATTATTTAGTGACGCCCTGAAAAGGGGTGGGCCTACATTACATTCCAGTGGCAATACAGGCCCACCAAAAGCACAGGGCTCACAATAGTATAATATTGTATGTTAAAATAAAATAAATATTGTATCTATTATTATATATCAAATGCACTATAGTATAAAAAAAAATGGAAAATATATAATATAAAAAAATTGGAAAGATGTTATATAGTAATAATAAGAGCACTAATAAATAAATAAATAAACACTGTACAATCCACACAGATACATCTAGTTCCAAGCTAAGCAAAGCTTGCGTTATTGGTGCTGGACAACTGATATAAATACTTAAATATTTTTTTTGTAAATAATATAATAAGCCTAGAAAACATTCAGACCTACAGAAACAAACATACTTAAATACAAATGTTTGCACCGTCGGAGGATCGAACCCGCGACCATCGAAGGTAAGGCAATGTGCTAAATAGCAAGACCATGCCGCACTAACATCCATCAAGCCGTTTATTTGTGAAAAGATAAAAAAAGCAGACACACTTTTTCATTTTCATTTCATAGCTGTTACGTAACTTCATCTGCTTTTTTATTGATTATTAATATAACTACAAATCTATCTTCATGCCAAATTTTATTAAGATGCGTTCAGCCATTTACTCCTGAAAATTTATCAAGCAGTATAGACAGACAAACATATCTTCGAATTTATAATATTAGTAGGCATGAGTCTTTCTATTCTAATTTTATATTGGTGAAATTATTTAGGTTATATACATGTATTTGCAGACGTTACAAAAATACAGATCTGCGTGGTCCATTTACGATCGCTACCCACCAGACAAGTGCGCTGATGTGTTGTATGGGTATATCAAATCCTTGATTACTGAAGACCTCATGTGTCAGATTCACAAGGACTGCAGGCTCTATGTGGATGAGTTAATGAGGTTATTACGTAAAATATTGGAAATGAATGCTATGGAATAGAGTGGAATGGAGTGGAGTAAAATGGAATAGAGTATAATGAAGTATAATGTAGTGGATGGAGTATAATGGAGTAGAGTGAAGTGGATTGGAATGTAGTATATGAAGTGGAATAGTCACTCTATTCCACTTCATATACTACATTACATACAGAGTGAATTGTAGAATGGAGCGGAACGGATTGAAATGGAAGCGAATTGGGTGAAAAAGGTAAATAGACTGTTGATAAAGTTATAATTTATTCTTTCATTAGGCTGGATTTAAAACTACTTATTAAAATGCACCAAGTGATGTACAAACGCATGGGATGGAAGTACCCCAAGTTAAGTATGAAGAAGAAACCCAAACCGCCAGCAATACCCAGGCCACTAAATATTGATAGTAATTTACTGAAAAACATGGAAGTATGTGAATTCATATTATTTATTCAAATAGTTCATATATTCCATTATTATACTACTAGAGGTCGGTAAGAGTCAACGGCGGCGATCAGAATTCTCCTGGGGGAAGTACAACCTTGGCGCCAGGTGGAAACTGGCAGTAGCAATGATGAAGCATAAAGATACAGAGTTCTCTGGCGCAAATGTACATGGAGATCCGACCCCAGATAAAACTGGGAACATAGGTTCGGCGAATGACGATTCCATTACTATGTGAAGATGAGGCAGTAGGTATAGTCACGAAGGCCCGTTTTTTAGCATTAAAAAACGGGCCTTCGTGACTCCGACAATGGCGGTCGTAGGTATATCAGGTGGTTCTCTAGCGGCTAAGATCGTCTCTAGGGACTGTAGCCCGTCGTCATCCTTGCAACCGTGCCCCCGTCTTTTGAAGATTTTTCCACAGGTTAAAAACCAATAGGTATCCTAAACCGCTAGACTACCTAGATCTTTAAAGTATCACAATTTTATTTTCATATATTGACAGGATATTTTTGATCTGGGCATTATAACAAAGCCGAAAATCAAAATAGATGATATATATGGAGATTGCAGCTATGCGGCTTACGAGCTGAACATACGAGATCCTGATGCAAAGTAAGTCCATACCACATGGAGTAGGGGAGGGCTGGACTATAATTCCATTAGTTACAAACCTCGAATTTGGACTTTTCGGTCCAAAAGACATTTTTTTAATGTATCATAAAGGTATGGTACTTCCGCCTAAGCTAACGATTTAGCTGGCAGAGCATTGGTGGACGATGTTAAGATGAACATGATATAAGATCAGATAGGCCATCGTGGCCAATTCTACAGGAATTTATCACTATGGTTTTCAGGGAGAACCGCGTCAACCTGACGTGGTATATTACTAGCAAAGGGTTCACCAATCTATATTTCTAAAATCCTTAATCTTATCAATCAAGGATTTTTTCATTGCTTGTTATTGTTTCAGATTTCCTCCACCAGGCTATGGCGATATAAAGCGTCGTTTAGTCTTATCATGCGTATTCGGATCTGGAATCGAACCCGGTGCTAAAAGAAACAAATCTGTTATGTTATTAGGTCCAGAGAGAAATGGAAAATCTTTCTTGGTCGACGCCGTTGCAGGAGAATTGAGTGAGTTTCTTCTAAATTAATATTTTATTATAGAGAGGAAAGATTCCAGTTTTGTTTATTAATTATAAAATAACATTTTATATATTTTGATTTTATATTTGCGAAACTGATTTTAATCATTCTTACAACTTTAGATTATTAGCGAGTAGTTGTAGTTGTAGTTATATTAAATTATTGAATACTTTAAAATTATCTTATATAATCTTATATACTGAATAATTACAAAGGTATCCCTACACTAATTGTACCTGTATGAAGCTAGAAGCAACAATTTATGATAATAACTTTGTAATCTTATTATTATTATTCTTAATTAAAAAAAAAGATAATCTAATTATCTCAATTTTTTTCATACAAATCTTCAATTTCAGATGCTGTAAAAATAGATATTACCCCTGAAGTATTTAGTGCAGTTGTTAATAAACCAACCAGAATGTTATCACAAGTGTTTCTAGCCGCCAGGGTGTTCCAACCAGCCGTCATCTATATGAGAAATGTGGAGAGAGTATTTCAAAAGAAAGTAATATGTTAAATAAAATGAAAAATAATTTGTAATAAGCATATATGAGAATGAACATCTTTACATAGTATAAAACAAAGTTGACGTCGCTGTCTGTTGTATCTTTTAAATTACGTAACGCATTTTAATTCAGTTTTCAGCAATAGATATAGTGATTCAAGAGGAAACTGTATATGTACAATACTTGCATGTAGCAGGTCGTGAAATTCAAAGACTATTAATGCATCCGTGCAAAGTCAGGTCGGGTTGCTGGGATATATAAGAATGAAATCTCCACACTAATTGGTTAATTTTATTTCTCAGATTCCACTTCAAGATAAATATTTGAATGTAAAATCATTGAAAATAGCCTTGCCTAAACTTTTAAAAAGTGTATCAGTTGATGATAAAATTATATTTATTGGTTAGTGCATTCTTATTTGTGTATAATTATAACTTTGTTATTGATATTGATTTACAATGATCTCAAGTTTAATAAAAACAGCCTGTTTTTTGTAGCATGGGGGACAAAATAGCTTGCAGCTCATCTGATAGTAAATTATTATGACCATGAGCACCCTCAACACCAGGGGAATTGCATATGCGTTGCCGGCCTTTTAGTTATAAATACTAATATAAACCGATACGATATTGAAACCTTAAAAAAAAAGATTCTTTTTTGAAGGTTTCATTATCGTATCGGCTCTATTTTTTTTAATGTCACTTTACAAAACACTACTATTTCAGCGACATGCAGCAATCCGTTTGTAGCGCGAGCCAAGCCCATGGTGTCTCTATTCAATGAAATGATCCTAGTACCTAGAACCGATTATGGATCTTTACAAATGTTCTTTTATAATAAACTGCAAAGGTAATTTATCTATTCTTTTATAGAATGGCAAAGAAACGCCCATTTGATGGTAAGTGGTAACCGCCTCTCTGTGTTCATGTATATGAACAGCACCATCGAGATCACATCTTTATATAACGCCCGTAGTACTTCTCATACGTTGCCATTCCTGAGAACCACGATATCACTGTTCTATAGCCTGTAATTCGACTGCCATGTCTCACCCTTCTGTGTGCATTTGCCGCTATATATTTTACATTAATATGTATTACAATCAACTATTATCTGTTGATATGTAAGAATATATTTAATTTTTTTATAATGTTTTATAAAAATTTATATACTATACAAAAAGGGATTTAAACACCTTCAACTTAAACATATCTTACAAAGCAAGATATTTGGCGGTAGAGACAGAAGTAAGTACACAGATCACTTTGTATGAAGTCTATCTTGACATATAAATCAGTTATAAACGCGGAAGTTTGTGAGCGTCGATAGAAGCATCGATAGAAGCAATTGATGGATGTTTGTTACTCTTTCACGCGAAAACTTCTCAATTGATTTTTATGAAGTTTAACAATAATATAGTTTATATCATAATAATATATAGGTTATAAATTACACTCGGGTGAAAGCGTGGGCACAGTATCTACTGTATTTACTGAACTAGCTTTCCACCTCGGTTTCGTGGAACATCGTGTAGTCCCAAACTCAGTAGAGCTCGTGTTATAAATAACTGATATAAATATTTTATTTTTGTAAATACATACATAGAAAATAGGCAGATCAAAACAAACAATCATGCTCATGAATACAAAAATTATATTTGTCCGTGTGAGGATTCGGACCTGCAACCATTGTAAGTAATATGGTAAACCTCTTGAACACAAGCTATAATTCATAATTCATCATTCATCATTTGACTTCAGTCATACGTTTGTTTTAATGACGAGTATAATTTACAGCATCAAAAGTATGGATCGAGATTTGTGCGTACAACCCATAGCTCAGATTCTTCAAGGTTACGGTTTTGGTGTCATTAATGAAGTCTACGATAGTGTTATGAATCCTGAAAGAATTGTCAGGTGAGTTCCATAACTACCTTTACGAGATAATGGTATTAAAATAAATAATCATGTTATTTAAAAACAAATGCGAACAATTCTGGAGTAAAGCTGTGAATTTCACTATATAGGTAGAAACTAAATTGAAAGTCCATGAAAACTAAAAATTGATTAAAATAAATACAGCAAAGAAGAGTCAGTCACAGTATTCTGCGAGCCTTATGGACGCCGGGTATGGATCTCAAGCATGCACTCTTTACCCGGGCTTAGGTACTTCTGTTTTTTTTATGGCTGATAATGGAAAGACCCTTGCGCTTACGGTTTACGCTGGCGGGGCATCAGTGGAAAATGATACTTTTATTCACATGTCATTACTAACAATCGGCTTCCCCCAAATATGTACATATATATGTTGCGCCGGCTAGACTTGAACTCACAACCTTTAGGTAAGAAATTGGATAGTATTAAACAACAATGACTACACTAGGCAACGATGTTCCGACGACGACGAGGTTTTTAATAATGGAGACAATCGAATTGTTTAGTAATTTGAATACTTATAATAAGATTAGTTACTTCTTCCACTAGTAGTGACCAGCACTGGAGTAAGTGGATCTACTCCATCATAGCTCATAAAGTTTTGAAGAGTTCTTGGGATAATGACGACGTATTTACGAAAATAATTGTTATATTCTAAATTCAGATTGAATATAAATCCATTCTCAACAACCGAAATATTGGATTGCTTGATCAAAATGGGAGCAGAACCAACTACTATGGAGGTACAGTTTGTAATACGTCCTGAGAAATATAAGATAAGCGAATGGCAAGGCATGGTATAGACGTAGAAAGTATTTTTACAATTGTATACTGTCAACTTTGAACATCTAACAATTTTTCACACTGCCTTCCTTTCAAATGGTTTTGGGTTCAATCCACGTATACTATAAATATATTTTTATTTATTTGTAAATTAGCTGGCTGGTTTGTATGGGTGTACATGTATTATACATATAAACCTCCCTCTTGAATCACTATCTATTGCAAAAAACTGCATTGAATTCCGTTGTGTAGTTTAAAAGATCTAAACGAACAGACAGCGGAAGCGACTTTATTTTATACTGTCAAGATTATTATAATAAATTATTATATTATAATAAATAAATGAATAAATGAGTATATTTTTGTAGGCGTGTAAACATTATTTGTATAGGTTTGCGTGACATTTTATAGTATTGATGAAAAATGTATTTAAATACGCCTAGTTTTCTAGTACCATTCTAGTTTTCTTACCTAATTTAAATAATACTAGCTGTACCCGCGACTTCATTTGCGTGGAATTTAACTTTATTTTTCTAAAGTAAAGTTAAAAAGTAGCCTAATACCTTATTACATCGGCTACCTGCCAAAAAAAGAACCGTCAAAATCGGTCCAGCCATTTCAAAGATCCGGAACAAACAGACAGAAAGATAAAAATTGTAAAAAATGTTAATTTGGTGTATATACCATATGTACCGTATTGATGTAGTAAAAACCGTTATTTCAATATTACTAACAGACACTCCAATTTTATTTATATGTATAAATATGGTGCTGTATAAATTCTTCAGGGTTATATATTTAAAATTGATATTGTTTGTTTCTGACTTCCAATAAAAATAAATTGTATCTCAGAGCCGTTATAGAACAGGCGGAGATAAACGAGTGTCAATGTTCCCATCCTTACCTTCATCTCTGGCATCGTGCCTGCGGAACAACAAACGGCTAACCGACTACAAAAATAAGAGGATCTAGATTTGAGATATTATTTCCGCCCATAAAATCAATATCACGAGATATATGTGCACATAATGTACAGAAATTTTATTTTTTTAAATTAAAAAAGAGGCTTGGTATACTACACTGAAGTAGGTACCAACATCAAACCTAAAGGTCAAAGTGATAAACATTAATATGTAAAACACATTACAACAACAAAATCGTACAACATTAAAATCGTAATGTGTTTCTTACTTCGTTACTTTTGTGTTTATCGGTTTGGCCTGGAGGTGACGAGAGGTATTTTGGTAACATTTCTGTAGTTTCATATATACAACGTTAGACAAATTCAACTGTCGTCCCGCGCCGAGCGCACACGGACCGTGAGGCGCTGCGGTTTTAGGATCTCTGGCTAACGAGCCTATATTATAAAGATAGCAACTAATATACTAGCAGTTATAAGAAGACTTAACAAATAAGTGAACATTGCAATTTCTTATAGGAATATCAAGAATATATAGATTTCTACCTACAAAACTCACCCTTACGGAAAGTTCGAGAAGAATTCGAAACAATAAACGAGTATAGAGATGTCGCTTACAAAAAAATAGCAAAAAAGAAGGCAGTGAATCAATGACTATAATATATTAGCTTCTATTTTTATATAATACATAATTATAATCACATATTGTTAAAAATACTAATAAGATTAAATAATAAGCGAATTTTCTTTTTTCTCTTAACTAGCTCTTATGTAATTTTTAGACGAGTCCAATTATTTTTCAAGTATATCCCATATTAATCTTAATATTATTATAAACGAAAGTTTGTGAGTATGGATGTTTGTTACTCTTTCACGCAAGAACTACTGAACGGATTTTGATAAAACTTTACAGTAATAGGCATAGCTTATGCATCTGCATGACACATGACTATATTTTTTAGCACGGCACAGCTAGGAAAGACGGCACAGAAGCAAAAGATAATGTTGCTTTGCAACTATAAAAGTTGAAAGAATTAATTAAATTGTAATATACAATACATCAACAATAAAAAAAATTACAATGTCGATCTGGGACCTAGACTACCCAGTATGATTGTTTATATAGGTCGGGGTGTTTTATATGCATAATTTTACAATTCAGTTTAAAAAAAAAATATTTATATCAGATGTACATATAGTACCCTTAATACATATGCTTACATTGGGACTGGATAACACTGTGTAAAGTGAAAACAAAATATAAAGAAATTTTCCCTTTATAGTTCAAGTTCAAGTGTGAGAAGAAAGTAACGTAAAGGTCTTAAAATAAATACTATGTTTCACTATCTTCTGCAAATAAGTCTAAACTACATTATAGAAAAATATATGTTAGAATATTCTAATTAGTTTTATACCCAACGGCTACATTTGTTTACAATTCAACACTGCTGACACAATAGATGTAAAGACATCATCGACTGATGATGTTCTCATTCTATTGTGTTTCAGTCTAACAAATAAACTAGTTCAGTACTGTTAGTACAGTTATTCTGGATTGTTTCTATATACCTTCTTATTAGATTTTGCAACGTCATCGTTAGATGTGAAACCAGTGTGATTATCCCGGCATTTAGTGATCAAAAATCAAACAAAGCTCATAAAGGTCATACTTGCTTGATTGTTTTCCAAGGTACTCACTTTCTTACGTACTTACCTTCAAACCACGAAGCATGTTTTTTTTTACCACCTTACAATAGTCCATTTTACTCGCAGTGTGTTAATGTCATAATAGTGAAAGTACCTATGCATTTTTTATTTCAGACATAAAAGTGGAATATAATTAAGGTTTTATTAACATCGCCTGATAAAATGATGATATATGATGAAAGTAATAATAAATTTAATATTAATCAAACAATGTTGCAATTATGAATAATAACTTATATAAGAATAATAATGTAAAAGTAAACAAACGTGTAGATTGTTTAGAAGAATAGTACAATTCACGTTACAATACTAATCTTGCAGAGACATCGCAGAATAACAAGGAAAAGTTGCCAAGAAATTTTACAAACAACTTATAGGTACCATTAAAAAAAATATACGAATATAAATCGTTTGTAAACAGTGTTAATAAGAAAATCTTAAAAATGTTAGGATTGTAAGTGTAACATGAAGGAAACATGGAGCAATCAAATGTAACAAATGGTTTAGACCTTATTTTAAAAAGGAATTGACTTTTAAATGCACATTGTTAGGTGGATTATAAAAGATTGTTGTTTGTTGAAAATTCGAAGTAGGTACGCAATTTATAAATGTTATAGAAGTTTTTTGTACGAGAGATCTACTTAATAGCGTTCAGTTCGAACTAAACGCGATCAGTATCTTTAGTGAAAAAATGGAACAGTTCATAATTTTGCGTGTCATCCTTGCGCAGCGGCCATGCTAATTTTCTCTGTATCGGTCCAATTTTAGTATATGTACTGCCGAAGCAAGTACGGGCTAACTGACCTGGCTTCATGCACATTTTATCGTCCTCCACTGGTGCCCCGCCGGCGTAAACCATTAGCGTAGACGAGTGCATCATTCGATTATCATCTGTAAAAAAATTCTAATGCCACATGTATTGTGACCTAACGTAATATTTACAAACGGAGAGATAACGCCATATAAACGCTCATTGCATAGCCATTATACATTAGTATCAAAACAAATGGTTAGTGAAACGCACGCGCGCGCGTTTCTCACTCACTCAGAAGTGATATAAAATCGTCAACTAATTAAAGCATACTTTAATACAATATATATATACAACGTGATAGCGTATATATAAAAAAATATACTACATACCCTTCTTATGAATGACTGAAAATATAAACAGTGTACATATATTTAACTGAAAATTACAATAGTAATATTTTCATCCGGTGTTGTATTTTTTAATTTTGTGCTATGTGTAAGTGATGCAGATTGTAAATTTGTGATACGAGAGTATGCTGGTATATTATGTGGTTTAAAATATGGTGGCATATATTGTTTATCACACACGATTGCTAGATTTATATTAGTTACGCTGATATAGTTATTCGTGATATTTATCTATCCAATTAGTTATACCTTTTATCTGAACACCATTTAATTACTTACGTAAGTTTTGTTAGCGGGTTAGTAGAAAACATTTCTGTAACGCCTGATAAATAATATATCGATATCTTTACGACTTTTATCCTAATTGGAGTAGACATTATAGACTATCGACATCCTCTGGAACGCAACAACGGTCATGCCCACATTTTGTTGGATATATTTGAATCCAATATGCAAGGGAGCAAATCTACCGCCGTATTTTGGATTAATTTTGTTTGTTATCAGGATTTTTAAAACCTGAGTCAGTCAGTAAATCAATTTGGCACAGTTTTTTTACGTAATGTCAGTCAGAATCCAACTTAGGTCCTAATCAAGATGGTGAACTACTAGGTAACGTTCTCTTGATAATTAATTGTATAGAATTTATTACATTACGAACGAGGCATAAGTGTATATAGACATTTATTGTCTTATGATTTAAAGTATGATAAGCAGTACAATGCTATTATTTATATAAGCTAAGAAGTAAGAAGCGTGTATCATTTAACCCTCTTATAACTACGTACTAGCTGTGCCCGCGGTTTTACCCACGTTAAATTTATAGCCTTACTGTTATTCTGATATAGATACAAGCTATATTATATAAAAATAAAAAAAAAGTCTATCAACACGTAAAGAAACTTCCGCGTTTATAATATAGTATATCATAGTATAGTAAGGTATAGTCATATAACTAAATCACCCACCAAAATTATTTTAACCGTCGTTTAAAGTTTAAAAAATAGTCTTTTGTCACTTTCTCGCACTCTCTAGTATCGCACTGACTAGCACCCATAACACAAGTTCTGCTTACTTTGGGACTAGATGAAGCTGTGAATTGTCCAAGGTTATTATAACTATATTGACACATTCGCGAGGGTTGCTACTTAAGTTCCGAGTTTACAAATATACTGTATTTTACTTTACATCCAGTTTTATGCTATATACAGGATTTCTAGGAAACTCGAAAACTATTGGGCAAATATTGATCAAATTTATATAGAATATCAGCTATCAAACTAAAAAGAATAAATTTGAATTAATTTATTCTTTTTAGTTTGATAGCTGATACAATTTAAAAAAATACTATCTAATTGAATACCTCTTCTTATTCAGAAATCGGTTGAAAATATGGTCTTGGTTTTGTACTTTATAGTACAAAACCAAGAAATTATTGTCTTCTATTATGACATCAGATTAGAAGGAATACTGAAAAATCCACATATTCCAAAAAGTATCATCAAAATCAGTCTACGATTGATGAAGAATGGCGGTATATACCTAATTATACACCGCAATAAGAGAAAATAATTACAAGAGAGCTAGGTCATTTGCGTAAAAAAACTATTGATTTTACTAATAAAATATTGTTCGCATAATATTGTTACTATTTTACGCGTTATGTCCTTCTCCAATATATAAATAGAATGAATCAATACAAAGTATGAATGGAAATGAGCGAATAAAAGTCAATGACAAAGTAGAGGATGGGAATAAATAATAAATAACCAGCTTATAAATATATATAATGCATTACAAAAATTATATGCACATTTTCTTTTTTCAAATTTATCTTTTTGTTTATAGTTTAGTCTCAAAACCATAATACAATATATAGGGATTTGGGAAATTCCTTCACTGTAATAAACCTAATGTATGTAGTTATATTTTACATAGTATTTGTATAGATATAGTATAGTAGTATGTTATGGTAGTTTGAATTCACACGTTTTTACTTAAAAATATAAAGTTATAACGTTTATTTAAAATACCAACACGCAAGTTTCTTACTCAGCCTTCTTGTGAAGAAACAACTTCTTAAATTAGTGGTAGATTAAAAAAGGATCACTATGACTAATCAAAAGTGATTAAATTAAGGTTATTTGAATAAAGGATTTTCTAATCTATTCTATTAAATGTAATTGTATCTTAATTATGATTTTTAAACGTATTGTATACGTATTTAATTAATATTTTTTTTATTAATATAATTGTAATTAAAAACTAACTGTAAAAATATCATTATTGTTTATTATGACTTGTCGTATACGTAACAGGTTTTTATATCCAATATAATATGCTAAATATAAAAAACATAATAATGGTGTGGTGTGGGTTACCAGTACAAAAAAAAGTTTCTAAATAATGGAATACTATTTTGTTTAGTCCTTACATATTTACGATAGGAATTAACAGGAAATAAATGAGTATTTATTTATTTATGAATATTTAGTTTAAAGAATAACTTTCTACTAGTATTAAACAATTTACTGATACGATATGTGAATCATGTTATAATAAAATCACAAGCTTATGAGTGTCCGGGCGAAATTGGGATGGGTTACCAGTACAAAAATGTTCCTAACTTATAGTATTCAAAAATAATTCATACAATTTATTTGATTATTTCCTATATATTTGCAATGAGTATTAAATGAAAATGAATGAGTGTTTATTTATTTATGAATATTTATTTTTAAGAACAGCTTTCAAGTTGAATTAAACTATTAACTGTCACGACACGTGAATAAACAATCATTGTATGTTATACGACTATTAGCATGCAGGGTGTAGCTGGGTATTTGTTATCACACCAAGGCCAATGTGTCACGATACATTCATTTTATTAATTTACTAAAACACAATAGATCACTGCTTAGTAATGCATTGAGTGGTTGCGGATTAATGAGGTTAAGCACACTTGGGATGGTCGAAAAATTTTATAGAATATAATTTGATTACACTTTCTTTACAACATATACCTATATAATTTGTATGATATAACGTGAAGTAAAAACTGGTTTGCACCATAACTTATATAGTATATGTTCTACTGGACGGTAGGGAAAAAATTAAAATTATAATGTTAAAAATTTCACGTTCATAAGCGGCCTACATGAATAAATGATTTTTGAATTTGAAATTAGATTTGAACTTACTAATATACAGTCTTCGGCTGGACTCGTCTTATTTCACGAAGTTTCGCCTCGTCACCATTTTATTATATATATATAGGTTTATACATAAATACTATAAAACGAAATAAATTGACAGTAAATATATTTGTTCATAATTATGTTTGTGCTGAAGTGGCTGAACCGATTATTACAGAACTTTTACTTACATATAGCTGATGTTACAAAAAGCAACTTAGGCTACATTTTTTAAAGGTAAATTCCGATCGTGGAATTCGCGGGTCATCCATAAAAAATCTGTCAACGTCTTGTACACGTAACTCGTGATATATCTATCCACATTTCGATACATAAATTAGAAACATTAAAATTCATATTGACAGAGGGCGCATCTAGCTTTAGTAATGTAGTATACATTACTAAAGCTAGACTCTAAAAATATATTTTGAAATTGTTTTCAAATACATAATATTAGTATTTAACTAATAGTAGCATTGTCACGTGTAGGTAATAACCATATTACATGTTTATCTCTATAAATATTTATTATATATCAACTACAATGTTTGTGTTGTTACCCATTGTAAAATAAAGCGATCGGTTATAGCGAACGTGACTGTTTGTTTTTTTATTAGAGTAGGATGCGCTTTTACGTAACTGGAATAATAAACCAACAGAACATACCTGTTGGAAATTATCGCCTATGGATAAGATATAAGAAACTTTCATTTGTTTTAAAGGACACACACATAAACCAACTGAATGTTTGAGTAAACTACAGAAGCGATTTAAACGAAATTTGGAAAAGGACATAATAAGTAAATAAATGCGAAAAAGGGTTGTAAAGGGTTGAAACGTTAGATGGGAGGTTGTATGGAAGTATCCGAATATTTAATGCTAGGAGCTTGAAACTTATTTTTAGGTTGTTGATTAAATATAAATATGACTTTCAAAGTTTCTAAAAATGTCATCCTAAGGGACAAAATAAAATAGGGGATGAAAGTTTGTTTGGAAGTTCGTCATTCGTCGACTATTTCATGCAGACGAAGTCGCGGGTACAGGTAGTAATATAATAAATAAAGCAAACTGGTTGGTGATAGAAATAGGTGAGAAAGCGGTACCAACGCTGAGGACTTATCACAAATCGACAGGTAATTCATCCCTACACGTTAGAACCTAAGTGGTCTCGGACAGTGCGGTTTCAGAGGAGCTTCCTCCCGCATATACTTAGATTGTAGAATGAACTACCTGTCGAGGTTTCCTCACGAGACTACAGCATGGGGTTTTTCAAGAAGGGTATATTAAGGTTTCTTAAGGCTCGGCGCACGTGACATCCCTGGTGTTTCAGGCGTCGATATGCTACTGTAACCATTTACCATCAGATAGTCCGTATGGTTGTTTACCACCATAGTAGAATAAAAAAAATCGTTTAACTTTATTATAACTACCAATTTTTGTTGTGAGGCGTTAGATGTTGGAACCGTAGGTGTCTATCTTTAATGTATGTTTATTTATGTCGCGTCGTTAACAAATTATGTCAATACAACCACACGACAATTATCAAATCCTTATTTAGATGCAGTACTCTGTATGGTTAGTGCGGTAACTATTAGTATTACGCCTCCGATTGGAATCGCGCGCAAGTAAATAACGAATGTAATGGAAAATATCATTATATATATGTACGTCGTGACAAAATATTAACATAACTAACTAGCTTTTACCCGCGGCTTTCCTCGCATCGAATCTATGTTTTTTTTTAATGAAAGTATCCTATGTTCATTCTAATACGGTAAGAACAGGTGTACAAAATTTCATGGTGATTGGTTTAGTAGTTTTTGCATAAAAGCATAACAAACATTCCCACTTTCACATTTATAATTTTAATAATAATAATCGTCCTCTTAACTACAGG